ACATAGTAAAGTGGGCTGGGGAAAGGAGGGAAGGGAGGAAAGGGAGGGAGGAAGGAAGGAAGGAAGGAAGGGAGGAAGGAAGGAAGGGAAGGAAGAGAAGGAAGGAAGGAAGAAAGAAAAAAAAAACCAAAGATAAGAGAACAGAGACAGGCTCAATAACCTTCCCTGCTCTCCCTCACCATGGCTGGTGGGAACCCAGAGATAAGGCTGGCACGTTCTGCAGTGCCAGGTCAGCCTGGTGGGGAAGGCAGCCCACCTCAGCTAGCCAAGCTGTGGCTTTAGTCTAACTTCGTTTTATTTTGTTTCATGTTTGCACAGCAAAACATACACCAATTCAACAACTTCTACATGTATAATTCAGTGACACTGACTATATTCTTCAAGTTGGTTGCTCATTCTCCTTTTCTGAATTATTCCTCCACCATTAATGTGTATTCTGACCCCTAAGTTTCTTCTTTAAGAAAGTTTCAAAACAAATTAAAAAAAGTTTCTATATAATGCAGATGACACAACCTTGCTTGCCGAAAGTGAGGACTTGAAGCTCTTGTTGCAGAAGATCAAAGAAGATAGCCTTGAATATCGATTGCATCTCCATGTCAAGACAACAAAAATTCTCACCACTGGACTGATCGATAAAAGACTGAAACTGTCAACAACTTCATATTACCTCCACAAACAACTCCAAGTCAGAGACTTCTCCAAATTATTGAGGAGCAATGAGATCAGTTTGAGGATTAAGACACGCCTGATTCAGGCCAGGGTCTTTTCAGTCATTTGCTGTATACCTGAGATCTGGACAATGAATAAGGATGACAGATGAAGAACTTATGCCTCTGAGCTGTGTTGCTGGAGAAGAATGCTGTCTATCCCATGGAAAGCCAAAGGAATCAACAGGTATGTCTTGGAGACGGCACAGCCAGAGAGCTCCTTTGAGACAAAGAAGATAAAGCTTTGTCTCACGTACTTCAGAGATGTTGCTAGAAGCAGCTTTTCCTTGGAGAGGGACATCAGGTTTGGAAAGGTGGATGGTCAGCGAAAGAGAGGAAGACCCTCAGACAGACAGACTGACACGGTGACTGCAACAATGTACTTGAGTGTGTCAGAAATTGTGAGGATGGCATTATATAGGCTAGGGTTCAATCTGTTATTCAGAGGGTCGCTATGGTTGTACTAGACTCAATGCTACCGAACAAGAAGTTGCTTCTTTAATCTTTTGAGTTGCCGTCTATTTAACTTATATTCCAGCCTAGAGTCTGCTATCTTTTCTGACACTCATTCTTTCGAAAGAAGGAAACAGTCGTGAAAGCAACAAAGAATCTGTTTTTACCCTGTACTTCATGTTGGTCAAATTCCCTCTTTCTAAATTAGTATTTAAATATTGAAATAGCTCCCTTGATATCACTTCCTCCAGAGCTTTTTTTTTCACCAACAGGTTAGCTAAACTGTAATGTGACTCCTAAATGTGTGCTGGGCTATGGTTTACTCTCAATTTACAGAGTGGATAATTAAACATACACATACTTAACATAGTAAGCAGTGCATCACTGTTCCTGTGCTTTTTCCTGATTAGGTTTCAGTAACAGATGATGGAAATGCCCATCACCTGCCTCTGTGCATTCATGCTGCTGGTGGAGTGTTCAAACTACGCCCAGCAGTTCTAACCTTGACGTGAGAGGGCCTCATGACCAATCCTCTGTTGAGCACTCTCACATCTCAGTTCACAACCATGACCACCTTTCAATCCAGAGGCGCACTCCCAATACCTCCACTGACATCTCACAATTCCCTAAAATTAAACATGCCCAGAGCCCAAAGCACCTGTCATCATCTCACTCCTGGACCCTCACCCCTGTTCCTCTCAAGGAAGCACCTGTTTCCGGCAGCGTATCAACTTTCTCAGAGCCTCCTCACTCCAGCCCACACATCAAAGTGACATCAAGTCGGTATCTCCTGACAGCACGGAGTAGTACCTCTACTTCATGGTCACATTTGTGACTGGGGTCACATCACCTGACTCAATCTGTAAGAGGCTTTGTAATAGTTTGAGGGAACTTCCTGCCTCAGGCCTTTCCCACCACGTAGCTGACAAGCCTTTCCTGGTGGTTTATTTCCATCAGGCACTAAAAGGTAGATATGACATGATGATGGGAATCTCATGTCACGTCTACCTTGGAGTGCTAGTGGCGCACTGGTTAAAGTGTTCAGCTGCCAACCAAATGGTTGGTGATTCGAACCCACCACCCGAAGGAGAAGGAAGAGGCACTCTGTGTCTGTATCGATTTACAGCCTTGGGAATCCTATTAAGACAGGTCTACTCTTGTTCTTCAGGGTCAATGAACGACACAAGGTGGAATCAACTCAACCATGATGGGTTTGGTTTTGGGTTCAGCGTCTGACTCTTCAAATCTAAAGCTGCTTCCCTGGCTTTTCAGGTCCTGTTGTTAGGAGCCTTCAAAGCAATTTCACCTCATGGTGCCCTGGCAGGACACGGCAGAACCGGCCATGATGAAGCGCTTCCTCGTAATCTTGACGGGAAGAGACTGTCGGGTCTTTCTCCCAAAGAGTCACTGCGAGATTTCAGAACGCCAACCTTCTGCTTAGTGCTGACCTGCTGGACCACCAAGACTCTCTTCTCAGGCTGTACGTGGCCACTGGTCCAGCATATTCCTTAACAGAATGCCTCTGCATGGGTTCAGTGAAACTCCTTGAAAATGGGTCATGAAGCAGATCACGCAGGAAGTCTAGATTATTCCGTAAACTGAGGCCCATCATTCACTCCCTCGGCTCACAGGATCCCAGCCTTTCAGAGCTGACGTGATAGGAAAGGTCCACATTGGCGCCTCTCCATTCACAAGCCCCTCTCCACGGCATCCTCAACTGAGCAGCTGCAATGCCAGGGAAGTGCTGCTCCAAAAGACACCGGTTCCAGCCAGAAAGAACTGGTAACGTGCAGTAGTGACACGGAATGCTAACCTGGAACATGCATAATTAAGTGGAAGCAAGTGGCAAGATCAGATTACGATTTCATTTCCTCCCTCAGGAGGAGAGGTAGCTTCGCAAGATAGAGCTTCTTTTGCTTTGATCCCTGATACAAGAGGCAGTATTTTCTTTCTCTAAAAAGCTGATACAATTTTCAGCTCTATCTTATAAAAAAATAATTGATGTGGTTATTAATAAAAATAAATATTGACGAACCTCTTTATACTGTACTTGATGTGAAAATGCTTAACTCAGAGTCACTGAGGGGAAGGTGAGTACGAGTAAGTCCATTCAAATCAAAGAATCCTTTAAAAATAGGGCTTTATCTTCACAGAGGACATAATAACCTAGGATATGCAAATATCCAACTGAATTACAGTTCTCAGAAGTTCAAATGGACTCACTAACTAGTTCTGGAAGGATAATAATTTGTACCTTGAGTAATAAAAAGGGTCTTCAAGCCTTATTTACCCCTTAGAAAGAAAGGATGTAATGGAAAGATCAACTTGAACCTCAAACTCTTAAGTCTAAACATTATCTACATGGCTTTGTTAGTTTAAATCAACTTGGGACCCTGAGAAACTCCATTGGGAAGAGGCCCACCTTTATGCTTGAAGGTCAGAGCTCAGGTCAAGTCCTTCTGAGTCTTTACTCCCGAGTCTCCCCCCTGCACCCCTGAGTCAGTGTCTTCTGAGTTTTGACCTTCCTGGCAGGAGCTGGACAAAGCCTTTCCACCTACTGCTCTTTTCCATAACAGTCCTTGAAATGGAAGAGGCAAAGGTAGCTGTGGCAATCGGGCTGGCATGCTGAGGCCTGGGCAGGCGTGGTGGGCCCACGGGGTCCTCTCAGGGAAGCAGGTCTTCCTCCCTGTACCCTGCATAGCCCACCCAGTCATGGAAGGACATCCAACAGGTTCTCCCTCACCTCTATTAGAAGCCTCTATCAGAGGCCGCCTTCCTGGGCTGGCCTCACATGACCTGTGACCGCACAAGGTCTAAATGTTCTGCTGTGTCCCAGGTTAAAACCCAAACCCCAAAGCAAAACTGCTGCTGTGAGTTGACTGAAATTCACATCTACTCCACAAGTGTCAGGGTGAACTGTGTCCCACAGGGGTTTTCAATGACTAAGTTTTCCAGAGCTGATCGCCAGGCCTTTCCTCTAAGGCACCTCTGGGTGAACGCAAACTCTCCCCGTCCAGTTAGTGGCCTAGCATGTTAATCATTACAACACCCAGGGGCTCTTTATCTCTGTTTACCTTTCTGCCCAATGGGGGAAGAGTCTGAAATAAAAATACAGTGCATAGAAGGAGCAGTCTTACTTCAAACACCCCCATTCTGCACTGGAGACACGTCCCTATGCTAGTCCTACTGTCTGGCGTTGCTATGTACTTTTCCAAACCATTCAACAGTTGCCATGGGGAGTTTTCTGACAGCTTCTAATGATCTGATGGAAGAGGCAGTAGCATGCAGAAATTCTCCTTTTATTAGCCTTGAGAAGAGCACAGCTGACTCCACCACGTGTACACACTCACAGCTGGGCTTGGAGCAGTGGCGGACTGGGTTCTCACCCCCAAGTCTGGAGGGGGAACCCAAGGAGTGAACCACCCCTTCCCACACAGAACCCCAGGGCTTGGCAGAGCACTCTAGGCCTCGCTCTGCACTGTGGAATACTGGGTTCTCACCCCTGAGACTGGGGGGTCCCAAGGAGTTAGCCACCGCTTCTCATACAGAACCCAAGGACTTAGCAGTGCGCTCCCGGCCTCGCTCTGCACTGTGGCAAGGGGGTGTGCGCTGATGTTACCTTGTAGAAGTAATCGGTAGCTTCTGTCATTTCTGAAAAATTAGTCTCCGAAAGTCCAGCTTCACCCAGAACTTTAATCTTCTCTTGAATGAGGGGCCTGTGGGAGGAGAAATGAGTTGCCCTGACTAGGCCGTGTGATACCAGCGAACTGATTAAAAGGAGGCTGCCCCGCTTGTTCGCACAGTGCCACATCTCTGCATCTCTCCAGGATCCTCGAAGATGCAGGCCCCGCTCAACTGTCAAATCACCTTAGACTAGGTTCAGGCCCGAGACAGTAGAAGGTACGTACCTCTAATGCAGTCCAATTCTCTACCCCTGAGCTATACCCCCACCATAACTCTAATGGAAACAATATGCCACTTCATTAAGACAAAACATTCTGAACCTGAGAAATCAGCCTCCCAATTAACACTTCCAACCAACCAAAGAGAGGAAGCAGGAGGGATACACACCTCGCTGTGAGGTAAGACACCTCAGCTGTAAGCCTAGAGGTGTGGAGTGGAAAGGAAGGAGACAGGCAGGGAGCTTAGCGCTTGGAGGGAAGGGTTGGACAGAGGCATTGTGGCACTTTCTACCTGGGTAACAGACAGGAACCTCAGGGCTGAACACTTCACCCAAGCTCTGCTCACAGCTCCGGGGGGCAGGGGGCTGGGTTCACTCTGTGCTCTAAAACAGGGTCACATGATGCGGCCTATGAACCCAGCACGCCTCATCAAGTGGAAAAAGAGACCGCTGAGTCTCCTCAAGCAACTGCAGGGCTGAGAACAGAGCGTCTGAGTCTTTTACACGTGAAACTCCATCTACTCAGAGGACAGATCCCCCTGGTCTCAGACCACAGAGGGACGGAGCAATTCCTCTCCTACGCAGGCCCCCAGGGAGTTAGTGAGGGAGCCCACATGGCCATGAGGACGTGGAGGCCACGGCGAATGGCTAACGGGTCTTCTATGTGGATCCCTCGACAGCTTGGCAGAGCACTTAAGGAACAAAGAAAATGCATCTTCAGAGTCATCCCTTGCTGAATTCCAACCACCAGACCTTACCAGAGGTAGTCATCCGCTGTGCCTTTTGCCACGAGGTAGTGAATGCCCACAGAGCTTGTCTGTCCGATGCGGTGCACACGATCCTCGGCCTGAATTAGCACCTGTGGGTGGCAGGGACCAGAGACAAGTAGGTGAAGGCCTGAGGCAGCTCCAGGCCTCCACAGTACGTGCCTCATGTGGTGGGAGGGTCTCCAGGCCCTACTGAGAGATAGATGCCCTGATGTCTTACACGCACAACAATCAAACAAAGCATTGGGTGGGGAACTGGAGTGAGGAGCTGGACAGCTGTGGACGGGCCTTTTGTGCTGGGCTCTGTGCTAGGGGTTGCAAGGAGGTCAAGGGAAGGGCCTGCCTCAAGCTGTGTGAGGAGGGTGGACAGAGGAAACAGCTCTCTGTAGGAGTAAAAGAGCTGCCTTCCAAATAAAACAAAGATGCCCCACCCAGGGGAGAGGCCAGGGATGGGGGGGGGGAGGGAGAGAGAGAGAGAGAGAGAAACAGGAAACTCAGCAGCCATGGGGCGGACTCTGACTCCTGGTGACCCCATGTGTGTCAGCAGAGCTGTGGTCTATGTTTTCAACAGCTGATTTTTGGAGGTAGACTGACTGACAGGCTTTTATTCTTCAAACCTCCAAGCTTTGTGATAGCAGCTGAGCAGGTCATCTGTTTGCACCACTCCGGAACTCCAGGACAAAGTGAAAGGTGTGGTGGTTCCCTTAATACATAACAGCAATTGATACATAATTATGATATGTAACTAAAACCAAAGACCTTTCTTTGTGTTAAGATGTTTTGAAACCTTGATGGGCACCGTCATCACTGTGGTCAGGGATGTGCAGTGAAGGACACAGACACGTATTAGTGGAGCAGAGGGGGAGAGGCCTCTGGTGAATTCAAACGAATGACTTCTGGTCACTGTCACACCCCTCAGCTGACCAGAAGAGGCCAACGGGCACAGTGACAATGCTCAGGGTGTCCCCCTGGGGTCCTGGCTGTGGTCCTGCCGGTTCCTCAGTTCAGGGACACAGCAGAGCCTTGATACAGACTGGTGCTTGTCACATGCTTGTCACATGCTTCGCTGAAGTGACGGTCATGTCACCTCTCAGTTCGCTGCGCCCCAATTTCTCCACATGAAGATGGAGTCTAAGAATCCTTCCAGTCTTTTCCATTCTTATAAAATCCAAACCAATCCCACTACCGTCAAGCTGATTTGACTTAGTGATCCTCCCATCAGGTCTCCGAGGCTGCACATCTTCGAGGCGGGAGAAGACCTATCCTTCTCATGTGGAGAGGTAGATCTGAACCCCTGACCTTTGCATCCACCAGAGCCCCTTTCCCTCCATTAACAAATGACATCAATAATCCCACTGTTTAGCAGGTTGCTGGGAAGACTCAGTGGCAGGCTAGTAGATGTGCTGGTGTTTATAGGAGGCCGAGCCTGCTGTCCAGAAAGGAGAACAGGCCGACGAGGCTGATGGAACTGCAGGGGGGAAGGGACCTGGCACTATGGTGTGCCCCAGAACCCTGTCTTCCCAGCGGAAGCCTCCCGCCCCCCCCCAGCCAGGCGTGTGTCAGCGACTCCAATCCTCCCATGCTCCTTACCCCTGGGTTCCAGAAGAGCTCGGCAAAAACTACCAAGTCGGCGGAGGAGAAGGTGAGGCCCATGTTGGCCGCGGTGATGGACAGGACGGCCACGGCGTGCCTCTCAGACAGCTGGAACTGCTGGCACAGCGCCTCGCGCTCGGCGGAGGACGTGGCGCCGTCGATGCGGATGTGCTGCACGTGCTGGGGGACCAGGAGGCAAAGTCGGGTGGGCTGGGCTGCACAGGGGCCCTGCCCGGGCCAGAGCGGGTGCTGCGGCCCACGGGAGCCAAGCCCACTGCCCTCACGGGGCCTTCTCTTTCTGCCAACTTAACTGGCATTCGGATGCAGATCATTGAAGACTCACACAAGACATCACACACACATACACACAAACTCCCCCTTTCGTTGGATGGAGATCACTGCAGACTCACATAAGATGTTACACACACACACTCTCTCTCTCTCTTTCTCTCCCTCCCTCACTCCATCCTTCCCTCCCTCCCTCATTGGACGGAGATCAATGCAGACTCACATAAGAGGTTACACACACACACACACCCCCTCGTCTCCCTTTGCCTCATTTCCCCCAACAGGAACATCATACAAAACTGCAGCAGAAGGTCTCAACTATAGAACAACGTCACAGCCTCATGTCAGCATGCATACAATCTACCATCCTATCGGAGTCCTCCTGTCTTGTGATTAGGTGTCTGGTCATCCTGTGACTCCATGTGACGGAGCAGAACTCCCTCACAGGCTTTTCCAGGCTGAAATCTTTTTGGGGAGCACACCTTCAGGCCTCTGGGTGACTAACCTTCCAATTTCTGGCTTCACTCTCACTGTCTGTCTGCCCAGTTTCACCTGTACACATTTGTATGTGGGTGGAGGTGTGAGGTCTACTTTACACAACTCTGTCGCCTACACAGGTGTTACAACAACCACGTTCCAGGTCAGTTCCAGCTTCAGGAACCTTCATGTTATACGTGACCACCCTCACCTTCCTGGCTCTCCTCGCCTCGGTCTCTAGTCCTGGATAACCACTCATCTGTACTTCTAAGATATTATGGAATACAACCATTTGCAAACGCCTGAAACGGGGGTTTTGTGCTCAGCAAAATCCCAAGGATGCTCAACTACTGAGATCAAGAGCTCACTCCTATGTATTGTCTGAGTATATAATACTGTTGAACTACTTTCTGTTGAAAGACCTGTGGGTTGATTCCAGTCTTTGGACTTCAAATACAGCTGCCATGAACATCTGTGCACAGGTTTTTGTGTGAAAGTGAGCTTTCCTTTCTCTGAGGTGAATGGTTGCTACAAGTCAAAGTCAAGCAGACGGCAACTGGGTTTTTTTAAAATGCCAGTGAGCCAACTACTGGATATGGTAGTTAGATGGGTGGGTTACTGTTATTTTCGTCACTAAACTCAAACTCACTGCCATCAGGCGAACTCTGACTCACAGGGATCCTCTGTTGGGTCCCCAAGGCTGGAAATCTTAACAGGAGGAAGTCAACTGTCCATTTTTCTCCTTTGGAGTTACTGATGTAATCGAACCACTGGAACACGCAATCTTTGTTTAACAGTAGGACATATTATGGACTGTATCACCAGAGCTCCTTAAGTGACACTGATCTTCTAATGATAAACATTAGGTAAGATCAAAATATTAGTAGTCTTACTAGTCTAGTTTTCCTTGCCACTGTCTTCTCAATGTATTTATCTTTTTTAGTGTTCATAGGTTTCATAGGATGACTATGCATTCAAGAGCTGGACAACAAATGAGGATGACAGAAAAAGAATTGATGCTTTTGAGCTGTGGTGTTGGAGAAGAGCACTGAGCATCCCTTGGACGGTGAAGAAAATGAATAGAGAAGTCTTGAAGAGGATGCAGCCAGAGGAGGAAAGAATGATGAGGCTTCGCCTCGTAGACTTTGGATTATATGGCTAGGATGTGCTATTTGGAGAGGGATATGATGCTGGGAAGGGTGGAGGGTTGGTGAAGGAGAGGAAGACCCTCAACCAGGTAGATTGAAAAGATGATGGCTGCAAAGGGCTCTTGTGTGTCAAGAAGTGGTTGAGGACTAGGTTCGGCTCTTTTGTTCTTAGGGTCACTATGAGTCATACTCCACTCAATGGCACCTAACAACAACAACAACATCAACATATCTTTTTCTAAAAAAAAATATATTTTATCCTGTTTTTTTCTCAGTAACAGTGCACCGTAAATAAATAAAAATATCAATTTTATAGAACACAGCTTTTAATAGTAAGCAATTACACTGCCAAGCCAAAGGAATGTAACTAGAATTCATGAGATGCTCTGCAGAAGAAAGATGGGCAATCCCCTCCGGTGCGACTACAGCCTCTGAAAACCCACTGGAGGGTCTGCTATGAGTCAGTTCTGACTTGATGGACACAACATTTCATTAAAGAAGTACCGTCTTTAGGGAGTTTTACTGCCAACTCAAAGGTGGTGCTTCTCTGGCACTTCAGATTCGCCTGTGGCTCCGAGGGAGGAAGACAGACGATCCCTCCCGGGCGACCTACACGTGGGAAAACCCAGCAGAGGGTCGGCTCTAAATCAGCAGAGAGCAATGAGGTGAGTGCATTTCTAATGTACTTCTTAGTTTGTCTCTTTTAATTATTTTTATTCTTTTCAAATACTTGTGTAAAGTTTTAAACATGTCTAATTATAAAAGAACGCATAATCATTATAAAAATACAGAAATAATAAGAAAGGATAATAAAGACTACAAGAAAATAATCATCATTAATGTTTTGGGTATATAGGATTTAGGCTTTTTTCTCTGCATAACAATCATTAAAAATCACTATACATACAGTTTTTAACAATATATCATGGACCGTATCCCATACTGATAGATATCAACCAGATACTAATAGTTTCAATTTTATAAGTTTCTCAAATTCTCAAGGGTCTAATAATCTCTAAAAATTCAAGAATCACTGATGTACATTATTGCTTATTGTAGCTGAGTGGATAGTAATTTATTTAAAAGGACACCTTCTGAGGAACAGCTCAGTAACTCAGCTCATTGCCATGGAGTTGGAACTGACAGCTGACCTTCCTTCCAGTGGGTTTTCAGCGACTATCAACTGCAGAGGAGGAGACTGCCCATTTTTCTACTGTGGAGCAGCAGGCGGATCCAAACCACCTGCCTTTGTGTTGGCAGCATAATTTCTTACCCTCTAGGCCACCAGCGCTCTAATTATTCACTATTATAAACAATGTAACTAATATTCTTATATATAAATCTTTCTGCACTGCTCTGATAGAAGCAGTCTGGGAAAATGGGTGTATATTCAGTTACTGCCAAACTGCCCTGCAAAAAAACACAACAAATATTCCAAAGTACCATGATTGAGCTATTGTATATGTATATGACAGATCCCTATTATCAGGTATTATGAATGAATTCTTAGTGAGTTTTTTTCATTGTTTCTAGGCATTTTCTATTCAGCAATCAACTATCCAACCATATTTTCTTCTATTATTTCTTGTCTTCAAGGATCTTTGACTACCTAAAATTTACTATGACAAATGGTATGATAGGGCTTACATTTTTTCTCCCAATTATTCAAACTTCATTTCTTGAACAAATAAATCTGGATCAGTGAGGATTCCTTGATCATGCACCCATTTTTTTTATTAAAGTACTATCCACTCCATTCTGACCATCTGATTCGGACCAGCATGAATCACTTCAATTACTGGGGCTTTAGAATAGATTATTTTTTCAAAACCCTTTATTGTGAGTTGAGTGAAATTTTACAGAACAAATTGGTTTTCTACTGAGCCATTTGCAACATGTTGTTTCAGAACAGTGGCTGCAATTCCTGCAATCTAGTAGCATCTCTCCCACTCCCTCCCCGTGTTTACCAGTTCCTCCCATCCTGTCTTCCTGTAGAGAGCTCTGGTTGTCTAGGGAGTGAGGAGCTGCACTGTCAATCTCAAGGCAAGCAGTTCTAATCTGTCAGCTGCTCTGCAGGAGAAAGATGTGAGCAATTCCCTCCCATGCAATTTACAGTCTCCGAAAATCTGCTGGAGGGTCAACTATGAGTCGGTTCTGACTCAATGGCACTTGCTTGCTTTTCTTCCTATGCCTTTCTTGCACTTTGAGCTTTTTTTTAAAAAATGTTTCTTTTATTTTATTATATTTTGTGTGTGTACTGTCAAATCTGGTCTGACTGGTATAGGAGGAGATTGCCCGTCCTTCTCCAGCAGAGCATCTGGTGGATTTGAACTTTGTGCCTCTGGAATTGCAGTGCAGCTTCTTGCCACTAGACCACCAGAACTCCCTTTCCCTTTGAGCTTTCTTAAGCTCCTTTTTGGATCACATGTGGTTGAGAATTTGAAGTAGGGTGGTTTTTTTTTAAAAAAAGTTTTATTTATTTTTTTATTTTTATTTTATTGGTTTTCTGTGTGTGTACCGTTGAATCAGATCCAACTGGTGCAGGAGGAGATTGCCCCTCCTTCTCCAGCAGAGCATATGGTGGATTCAAACTGCACACCTTAGGACTAGCACAGCTTCTTACCACTAGACTACCAGAGCTCCCTCAGGAGAGTGTTCTTTCCTGGCATTACAGTGCAACTTACACACCTATCACGCCAGACGGGTATGTATGGGGCTTCGTAACAGATTTGATATCTTGAGGGACAAGTGCTCTGAAATAGTTTTTCTTTTTCAAAGATATCTTGGCTATATTACTTGCTTACTCCCCAACTCGCTGGCATTTTCACACTTTCTATCCTTTCCCAGAGAATGGCAGAAGTCTCGCCAATTCTGCACTAGTTTCTGTCTTTTCTTGGTGAGCTCATCAGGAATTTTACAGTTACGCTGCCATTGTGCACTTGCTCTTTCGTCCATTACATTTACTTGTTAGTTATAGCTGGCACATAAAAAAAAGCAATTTATTTTAGTGTATTTATTTAGAATCCAGGCACCCTACTTAACTCTAATGCATCCTGATAGTTTTTTTCAGTTGTTTGAGTTTCATAAAAAAAGAAAAGAAAAAAAACCAACAAAACAGTGATGGGTCTTTTTTCCTTTTGTCCTTTGTGAGGATTATAGTTTGCAAATCGGCTACTGGCTGGCTTCCTGTACCACATCAAACACAAAAATCAGCTCCTAGTGGATTAAAGATCCACCTCTCACATTTTAAGACTAGAAGGCAAGGAGGGAAAGAGTTCTTAAATCAGCCACAAAATACACAAATCGCAGAGAATGGAAAAAGAAACACACAGCCCACTGGGAATGAGGGAAATGCAAATTCCAGAAGCATGGCCATTCACTGAGCATCCCAAGTGAAGTGAGAGCATCCAGTCCTGACCGACCTCAGGGCAGATTTCTTGCTGGTGAGATCACAAATTTCAATAACTATGCTGGAGAGCAATGTGTTAATATTTATGTTGTGAAGATAAGTCTATCTAGGGATTAATAAGCAAAATCACACATTTGCTCATACACAAGTTATGCACGTGCACGAGCGTGCATGCATACACACATTCTGTCTTTCTCTTCCTCACTCTCTTTCTTTTAGGGTAAGAGATACTGCGGGAAAATATTCTGAGCCCCCAGCGGGTCTGCAAGCAAAAACTTCTCTCCGGAAGTTTTGAGTGTTGTTTCTGTAAAACTGTCACCTTCCCGCTGTGCTCACCTGGCCCTGCCACACAGCCACCAAACAAACAGAAAGAGCGCTGTGCTGAATTTTAAAGAGAGCTTACCTTTTTCTCAAGGGCATTTGTGATCGCATCCAAAACCACTTTATGGTGTGCAAACACTAGAAACTTCTCTTTTCCACTTTCCAACAAATCCAGGATATATTCTCTGCAGTGGACAAGGATAAGGACAACAAAGTAGTGAGTGTCAACACTTGCTCCTCCAGGTGGGGTTAATCACTGAGAGGGGACTGTGTCTGTGATAGAGCCCTTTGGGGTACCCGGCCTGCCAGCCCATTCACTCTCTTCTCTGGGTGTGACTGTTCCCCTTGCCCTCTCACCAGACCATCTGAATAGAAGAAGCAAAATTCAGAGGTGTGGGGTAGCTCCTTTCTGACATATGCATAAAGCAGCAAAGTAGTTTTTAATCTTTTTTAAGTCAACTCACATACACAAACAAACTGAAGTGTCCTTATGTTCTGTGTGTTTCTGGTACACTATTGAAACAGGGTTGTCTGGGAATCACAAGAGAGAATTAACAGTTTTCACTTCAGTTGCTAGGATTACAATGTGCTTTCCGTCAACTTAAAAGTGTCTTCTATAGATCTCAAAACCCCTAAGCAGGGGAGCGATGAGGAATTCTTGACAGTAAACAAAGATCTGGGAGCTTAATACAGGGATATAAGTTTTACTACTGAAGAGACTTCCCAGGGATGCCAGGTATTCAGGGAAAATTCTGCCCACCCAACTTGGACCCCAAAGTGCAGGGTTAACCGCTGAGTCAGTGAGAGCAGAATCTGGTCCTGAGAGAAAGGAATATGGCGAGAAGGATCTTATCCACTTTGTCGACATTCTCCCTTTATCCCTCCTGTCCATCACTCCTCCTACCTCCCACCCTTGGTCTTAAAGGCAGGCAACTACTAGCAGTTCATAGACCTTCCCTTCCAGATCTTCCCCTTTCAATCATACAGAATCTGCAAGCCAGGTACAGGTATCTGTTACTGCGGGGCAACCTAATCTGCAAGCCAGGTACAGGTATGTTACTGCGGGGCAACCTGGAGGTGAACGCCCTACCAACACAATGCTCCCCCTAGCGGTGCATCCCTAGACTTAACATTCTGGACAGAGACACATAATCATTTTCCTGGAAGACAATTCTCAACAGTTTGCTCTGTTACAGGCAAGTGGTGGAAGGTAAGTGAGTCGTCCTCTAGGAAAAAAAGAAAAAATTAAGAATTCTTTGTAAGCAACACTCTGACTGACTGAAGTACCCGATTTGAGTTCAATTTGGGAACACTAATCGAATCTGCCTTAATTAGCTTGAGAGACATAAAATTTGTCATGACATAAGCAAAAGAGTTTATTGTTGTCACATCCAAAAGTCAGAAAGCCACAAAACTGACTGGGTCGGCTCATAAAAGCCACAGGCCCCGATCTCCCTCCTGCCTCTCTGTCCTCTGTGTCCCGGATGTGGCTCTGTGGTCCCACCCTCACCACAAAAGCCCTAAGCTGTCAGGATGGATTTGTCAGCTACCACAGCAACCTTGGATCTACATCAAAAGATGCCCATCCAACTGAAAACAGTAACAAAAGAGGGAAAGGGGGGCGGGCAACTAGCAGAGGACACTGGGATCCTAAGATCCACAATCTCATTGTCACCAAATCCTGAGGAAGCTTCAGCTCATCCATTTATGAGCTGGATGACACTGAGGTCCACAGGTTATATGGGATTTACTCGCTCTCTACATCTTCTTCAATTTCTCCCCCCCACCCCCCACCCCCGCTCCTTATTGTTTGCCATCCAATCAGATCTGACTGGCACAGGAGGAGATTGCCCCTCCTTCTCTAGTGGAGCAGCTGGTAGATTTGAACCGTGTCCCTTTGGGATTGCAGCTTCTTGTCACTAGCCCACCAAAATTCCCTCAGTCTCTATATCTTAAAAAAAAAATGGATCCACCATACGTGTTTTATTGACCTCACGAGGAGCCCCTGGGTGGGGCAAATGGTTCACATGCTTAACTGCTAACTGAAAGGTTAAAGGTTTGAGCCCACTTAGAGGAAACTGAGAAGAAACTCCTGGTGCTCTTTCTCTGAACAGCCAGTCATTAAAATCCTGGTGGGAACAGTTCTACTATGACACACCAGGGGGCACACAAGGCAGAACTGACGCCATGGAAACGGCTTGGCTTTCGTCTGTTTGATCTTATAAAGATGCTGAAAACATGAATTAGTAGATGCAAAATCAGCTTGGAAAATACAAAGCAGTATATAGTTTCTGGGGAGCTCTGATGGCGCAGCTCATAGAGAGCTGTGCTGCTACACCAAAGGCAGCGCCAGGCAGCACCCCTCTGATGGTTCGAATCCACTAGCTGCTCCGAGTGAGAACGATGGGCAGTCTCCGCCCATGGGAGTTCACATCCTCCAAAACCCTCTGCAGAGTCAGTTATGTGTGAGCTCTGCCTCGATGACAATGAGTTTGAGATTGTACACTCCATCTGACATTCTCTGGACATGTTGCAAATAAGGACCAGTCTTTGGAGAGGGACATCACACTTGGGAGGGTGGAGGGACAGTGTAAGAGAGGAAGACCCTGGATGAGATGGATTGATTCAGTGACTGGGGTAATGGAGGTAGATGTGTCAGAGACAGTAAGATTGACTCAGGATAGAGCAGGGTTCCCGGCTGTTGTACACAGAGTCGCCACGAGTTGTAAGCGATTCAACAGCACATAACAACAAAATGGTAGCATGCTGAGGAGTAGATATAAGGTACGGTCCAAGTTCATTGGGGAGGTGGCAAAGTGGGTAGATTTCAAAGTTCAAGAGGCAAGTAGTCCTTCTGGACCAACAGCCAGGGCATGGTGCTCCCATGTACTGCATTTTGTAGGTCAGCACCTCAGGGAGCCGAGGACAGAGCTCACACTCTGGCCACCTTTTCTGAGCAGCACATGAGAAACAGGGTGGCGGGCGCAACTCAGACTAGTTTCCGTGGGAGAAGTTGCCAGGCCATAAAAACCACATCTGAAATTCATTGCTGTTGTTAAGTGACGCTGAGTCGTAGACAACTCAAAGTGACCCTATGAATGAAAGACCTGAATAACTGTATAACTTTTGTCGTTTCTCCACGTTCATAGAGTTTCCGGAGGCAAGCTATTTGGGAAGTGGATGCCACTCCTGCTTCCAAGCTTGCTTTACAGAAAGCTCTACCAAACACTGTCCACCACGGCTAACCACTATCACATTTGATACAGCACAGTCACAGTGTTTAGCATCACAGCAACCATGAGTTACCTCTGTACAGCAAATAGACAGACCAGTGCTATACCACTAAGAAGGATGTTTGACCAAAACCAACTAAAACCAGGCCTGAGGGCTGCAGATTAGAATCACCTACCTTTGGCTATCCACTAGGCCAATTAGTCTCATAAAACAAAACAAAACAAAACAAATAAACACATTGCCACTGAGTTGATGCTGACTAATGGAGACCTTACCAGAGCAGGGCAAATCCGCCCCATAGGGTTTTGTGGGGTTCCTGAGTGTCCTTCTTTTGCTGTAACTTTCTCCCGTGCAGCAGCTGGGTGAACTGCCGACTTTCTGCTTAGCATCTGAGGGCTCTACCCCACCACGCCACCAGGGCTCCATGAGTCTCATTACGGTACCATAAATGAAAAGATTTGCACCCTGTGGACAAAGGCACATCTGGCAGCTTTTTTTTTTGGGAGAAATGCTAGATTTGGGGAACAGAACAAAATGCACTCTGTCACCATGCCGAAGGGAACAGCAGGAGAGGCCAGTGAGGTAAGGAGATGTGGGGGCTGGGCAGATCTGGAGGGGGCGAGGCAGCATGGGTTTTAATCTATACACAGATCTCAGTCCCCACAGCCAATCTGGTGAGCTCAGCCCACACAAAACTCATTTTCATTGTAATTTAATCATTTGGACCATTATCTCGCTGAGTCTCCCGTGAATGTTAAATAATAAAAAAAAATATTAAGCAAACTGCACATCATTAGAATGGCCTCCAGTTTCTACGGCACTAATGTCTCTCAACATGAGTGGGCCTTTAAGAAATAACGGTCACTGAGATTTTTGAAAAAGTAAAGGAATAATTTTAAGAATAGAAATGATTAGCTTAGTTTTTAAGACGGAAAGAGACTTATGTGTGAAATAATCACTTGGCCATATTACTCCCGCACAAACTCTCGCAGGAGCCTTTCTATTTGGGGAAAAAAAAGGGTGGAAATGTCACATCGCTGAAGACCAGTCTATCCCTATGAGACTGCTTCGCCATGAAGCACTCGAAAGCCAGTAACCAGTAAGAGGACAGCTTTCTTCTTCAGCGTCCAGGCCAGCTCTACCTCCTCTAAGGGGCGGCAGGAGGCCACCTGAGTTGACAAGGCCCCGTAGGGACGCTAAGCTCACACAGGGCTTCAGTTCTAGACTGACTTCTGCCTCAGCTATGGTGTCCTCCCTTTCTTATGTTCACGGCAGCCCTGCTTTAATCTCCCAACACTGATCATTTCTCACCCAGAAGCATCAACCATTCTGGCAGCTAAGGCAGCAAGTGACGGAAGAGTTAAGCTGACACTTGGTGACCACTTACATGACAGACGGGATTTTGGCTTCGGCTGTTCTGTTGAAGAAGAGAATGAGGGCTTCCTTCTGCTGCTTGCTCTGTTGAGAGGGAAGCAGAGAGTGTTAAGTCTCCATCTGAGAACTCGGGGATAAGCTGGCCTAATCGTTGTCACCGTGGGCTTTTCAAATCCCCACCACTGGCATCCAGTCAGCAGCTGTCTGCACTGGCTTTGTCCTGTGAGCTGTGTCACCAGAGCTGCTGCATCATTCTCTGAGAACTGCTCGAAGAGCCCAACGAGGCAAGGAATTCGACAATTCTCCGGGGAAGGCGTTTCAGGCTGGGATTCACAGACACACCGAGTTCAAGTTAACCAGTCTAACCTGGCTAAGCCCACGTGTCTCCTATACCCTGGTGACAACTTACACATGACATGTGCCCGGCTTGTTTTCTGTCTTCTCTTCTGTCAAGCTGAGCTCACACTTGCCTGCTGGAGCTTATCTCTAAGCTTCCTGAATCAATTGCACCTAACTCTAAATGGTCTTTACTCTGGTATCACCTTAAAGCCAATGAACTTGGTTTTGGCCTGTTTCCCACAATTACCTTCCCAGAGGAAGAGACCATTTTTTAATTTCTGTATTTCACTTCTAAATAAATGCTAATAAAAAATGTTAACATAGGAGATGCTCAAGTAGTTTCATAAAATGAGATCAGATTTATTCTTATCTTGGGCCCCCAGAGGGCATGCTCTTATCACTGCTCCTCCGTCTCCTTCCTCCAGCCTGTGAAACAATGGCTGACAAGACCACTTCCTCCGGGGAGACAAAGAAGTCACGAAATAACAGCTATTCACAGCCCCCAACTTATTCACTACAGAAACAGCCACAATTGGATGGCCCTTAAAATGACAAGAGTTATTGTGGTGGAAAAACCTCCTTGTCCGAACAGCTGCTTGGCTGTGGACAGTGTTTATCCTCAAGGTCTTAAGAGGGGAAAAAGAAAGATATCCAGGAGCACCACAAGAATTTATGGACAGTTGCTAATGGCTCCATCCCACCTCCTACCTGTCTGCAGCGCCCACCACTGCTCCCATTTCACGGCAGGAGTCTGAACAACACAGGCTTCCTGGGGGCTCATGTTAAAGATGTGATGCTATGGCGGTGTGTCTTAGCTTCTTTCGAGGTTACAGCCTCATTTCACTCTGATGAAAGGACCTAAGTGTCCCTGGAAAGGAGTCCTGTGGAGCACTCAGATGCAAACCAGAAGGTTGGCAGTTTAAATCCACTCTACGGCTCCAAGAGAGAAAAGATATAGCAATCTGCTTTCTTGGGATTATAGTCAAGAACATCGTATAAAGCTATTCTAGTCTGTCACATGAGGTTGTCATCAGATAGAATTAACTCAGTGGAACTCAACAACATGAAGAAGGTAAAGATATCACTATTACTCTCACTTTGCAGATGAGGAAACTGAGGCGTAAAAGTCAAGTGATTTGTCAGGGTCATACCAGCAGTAACTGGTACAACGAGAAGTCCTGGCTCTTGAAAGTGTAGAGGCTCTAGACTGAAGTCCTAATTGTGAGAATTTAGTGACTTTATCTACATAAAGCACAGGACCAACGTATAATAAATGCTCAATACATGTCACTTATTCTAAGTCCTTTCACTTTTTCAGATTTTACATAATAGATTTCTTCCAGGAGTGACCAGTCGTTGGAGAAGAACATCATGCTTAGAAGGGTGGAGGGACAGCGCAGGAGAGGAAGACCCTTGATGAGATGGATTGACACAGTAACTGGGCAAATCGGGGTAGTTGTGCCAAGGACAGTGAGACTGGCTGAGGACAGGGCAGGGTTCAGAGCTGTTGTACACAGGGTCACTATGAGTGATGGCACATAACAGCAACAACATATTTTTAATGTGGGAGAAATTGATAGTTTTAGAGTAAAAAAACATTCTCCCAAATTCACCTCTGAAACTGAGTAGGCATAGCGATAGTCCATTAACAATCTCACTTCTTTGCCACTCACAGGCTGGGAAATTTCAAATAACCACCCTTCTTTGTTCTTGCGTCCTAGACTTCTACAAAATAAGATCCACTGGAGGTTTTACATTTCTTTCTCGGCATTAGAAATATGACCGGATTGTCAGCAAACAGAAGACGGTTGAAGCCACCAGGAAGTCTGCATAGACTAGTTCCATTTCCCTTTCCTCACCCTGCTGATCAGAGGATGGCTTTAGACAAAAGATGGTGAGAGTCAGCTTTTCTTAGTCTGTGAGGAGGTATTTATTATTTCAGCTGAAAAGCAAAAAATAGTTCTCATTACATGTGGTATTTTATAAACTGGCTGTTTCACCTTGGTTTTTGCGGTAAAGTATTTAAAGGAAAAAGGGGGGGAAATCTGCCTCCAGATGGAAAGGTGTGAGGGAACAAAGATGGAATCAGTTGTTGACAGGTGAGGGGCACGCTGCTGGAGCCACTATATTTGCAGAGATACTTGGGGCTAAAAAGCTACTATCAGAACAAGGAAAGGGACACGACTTCCTGTAGACTCATGCCTCCTTCTACGACTTCAACTAGCAAACCCTGAGTCTATGTTTTAACTCCTTCAACTAAGACTTTAACAGCGGGCTAAGGTTTGAAAAGGATGCCTGTGACAACGCAGTCTGACTCCCAGCCAACCCTGGCACCAGACCCCTTTCCTGAATGAACTCTTTAAATTAGGGCAGTGCTCCTGGTCTGCTTCCTAGCTGGCTTTGAAATGCACCAAAGCAGTGATTTTTAGAATTACAAAAGTCTGACAGCCCAAGGCACAAAGCAAACAAATTCATTTTCCATTTGGAGTTTCCATTATAAAGATGAATTTTCATTAACGAACACAAAAGGGAACCAAGTTCTCCAGGACTTAGTTTATTATCCTAACACAACAGCGTCTCGCCTTAGCATCATGTGGAAAGTAATTTCTGCAAACCAACCCAATCCTTTAGGGGGTAGACCCTCAATTTCCCTAAGACTCCAAGGAAGTCGAGAGCAACTTTTAAATGCTGAACTGAGCAGAGTTCTGGCCTCTCTCTCAGCTGTATTCTTAAGGAATTACACTGTAATCCTGGCCTCAGAACCTTGAAAAAACAGTTAAGATGCCTCAGTGTTTATGCAACATGGTTTATTCTACATACTCTTCTATTACTAAGCATCTGGGGTAGATCACAGCTCCCCTTTTTGGGATTAAAAAAAAGTAACAGCCTGCTAAAAAACTAAAGGGGCTTTACATAACTATAGAGTTAGAAATCATGAATCTGTAGGTGGTGCAAATGGCGAAGTGCTTGTTGGTGTCATGCACCACTGAGTAGGAACTGACCCAAGCTGACCCTCGAGTGGCTTTTCAGAAGCACAGGAGGAGACTGCCCATCCACCTCTCTTGGAGTAGCTGGAGGATTTGACCACATGCCTTTGTGTAGGCAGCATAATTTCTTACCACTAAGCCACTAGGAGCCCAAAGGCTGATAGCTTGAACCTCTCCAGAGGCACTCGGGAGACAGGTCTGGAGACATGCTTCTGAAGAGTCACAATCATGCTAACCTTCAGGGGCTCCGGTCTACTCTGTACACACGAGGCTGCCATGAGTCCACAGAGAACAACAAACAGAAAGCACCCAATATTGCAGGCCAGTCAAGTCCACATCTCACTGCCGATAAACTCCAAAATGACACCTCCTGCTACATCGGAGCGCATCTGGGGAGAGTTGATCATCTCTAACCTGGGGAACTGTTCATGTTTTATCATGGTGCCAAGCATGACTAACTGGTTTATTTTAAGAAACAGTGTTGTTGTTCGCCATTGAGTCAGAACCCACCCATAGCTGACCCTCCACCGGTTTTCAGAGGCAGTTAATTGCCCATCTGGTGGATTCAAACTGTGTGCCTTTGGGATTGCAGCACAGCTTCTTACCACTAGGCCACCACAGTGGTTTCAAACCTTGCTGCACTAAGTAAAAGATTTCCACTAGTTATACGTTTATTTTTTTATTTTGTTTTATTATTTTTTATGTGTGAACCATCAAATCAAATCTGGTACAGGAGGAGATTGCCCCTCTTTCTCCAGCGGAGCATCTAGTGGATTCAAACTGCATGCCTCTGGGATTGCAGTGCAGCTTCTTGCCACTAGGCGATCAGAGCTCCCTTATACATTCATTTTTTTTTTGCCATACTGCATAATTTAGGATTGACCACTCAATGTGACTTTTCTCCCCAATTCAAATGTCCACGGACTGCTGTGCTGGATGTCTACACTGGCTATTCTCAAAGATGCCAGCAGGTGGGACAGAGGGCTGGGTGCTGCCTGGGCAACCCCAGGAAATACTGGTACTCATTTCCATCACACACAAGATGAACAGTCTTACCTGCAGAAAAAGAGTGTTATGGTATTTGTTAGTTTGTCTAAAAAAATAAAATAAAAATAATGCTTTATAAATATTTAGATATTTAGATCTAAAAATATTGCAAGTCTGGATTTTTCACATTAATATCCTATTTACCTGACTGTACCACTAGTTGGGGTGTTTTTTTTAAATTTTGTTTTATATTACTATGATTTATTTACAAGGTTTGAATACATTGTTTTTCACAATGTACCACTAGTTTTCCTGTCCAGTCGAGTCCACCAGGTGATAAAAGTCAGTAAGTTATAAGGAGAAACTTGAAACTGAGAAGATTTCTTTTTTCTACTTATTGAATTTTTACCTTGGGAAATCAGAAAAATATTGATTTAGTACTAACAGCCTGGCTCAGCTTATGGTTCCATTAAAATACAATTTGAGAACCACTGTTCCAAACACGGTCCTCAAGTGACAGCAACGGTAAAGTGCAGAACTACTAACTGAAAGGCTTGTGGTTTGAGCCCATCTAGAGATGATCTAAAAAGACCTGGTGACCTGCTCCACAAAAGTCAGGGCCTTGAAGACCCTCTAGTCAACAATGAGATACTCACACTTGTGAAAAAGAAATCACACAACACCAAAAGGGCAGCATTTGCACAGTGACAGAGCTTAAAATGCAGGAAGGGATACATTAGGTGGCTAAAAGGAGATGGGAATCACAGAGAGGAAGTGGGAAGAGTGCTACTATAATGTTAGGATCAATGTCATGAATGCCATATAACAAATGTGTATGAACGGCTGACTGCAAAACCAATTTGCTCTATGAACTTTCACTCAAACCTCAATAAGACAAACTAAAGGGGAAAAAAAAAAGAAAACTCTATGGAAGGTACATGTACTTTATAACATATGAGACGACTACGCTTCAGAGTTACTTTGAAAGCAACTGATTTATCTTTTTATTTTTTGTTATTATTTTTCATGAGCGAAGACCAGATGAGTTGTGGGAGGATGTCAAATGTATCATCCAAGAAGAGTGCAAATGGT